TCTCTCTCTCTCTCTCTCTCTCTCTCTCCCTCCCTCCCTCTCCCTCTCCCTCTCCCTCTCTTTTTCTCTGTGTCTCTCTTTCACCCCCCACTGCCACTTCTGTCTTTTTCCCTTGTCCCCGCGGGCGGCGGGTCAGGGTGGACGTACAGACGGACGGCTTAACTAGCCCGAGGAATCTTCGTCTTGCTCAATTATAAAGCTCCTGATGTTGATAATGCTCTGGTCCCCGCCCCCCGCTCGGCCCCCCGCCCCGCCTCATCGCCTCGCCGTCGTGCTGCGGAATGCGGACGAGCTCGGCGCCGTCCGTCGTGTCCTCCGGGCCTTCGGCGGCAGGGAGAGCTCAGTGCCGCCACGCTCTGCCCGACAGACTCCGGGCGGGGGAAGAAGCAGCCGTCCGGAGCGATACGCGGGCACAATCCCCGTTGGCCACTGTGAAAAATATCGCGGTTAATTTAGCGGGAAAATTTTCCATTTATACAAAATAATTTAACACTCCGCATATGTACTGTGTACTTTGAAATTGTTTCTCCAGCAGGAATGGCCATGTCGTAAATTTTACGATAACTATTTTACATCGTATGTTAGTCGCAAATAAAATAACAAAAAAAAAATTCAATAAACTTACAGTGACATTTTTGACAGTGGGTACGCAGTAGCGTAGGATGGAAAGAGAACCTGGTTGTGGAGATCCGCGACGAGTGCGAGCGAGGAAAGGGTCGCTCGCTCTCTCTCGCTCGCACTCGGAGGGACTCCATTAGACGGTATGTCCCTCTCGCGCTACTGGTCCTCCTCCGCCATGACGACGCGGTCCCCGCTGGTCCCCGCTCTGGTCCCCGCGGCGCGCGCTGCCGGCGGCAGCAGTGTTGTTTTTGCCTGAGCGCGCCGGAAGGAGTAGGGAGGAGGAAGAAGGGGGGGGAGGGGGGTTACAACGACACAACGTAAGGACGCGAAGTGTCTCTTTCCATTTGGCCCGGCCAGCCCGACGTGGGCGGTGCGGCCGCCGGGGCGCTGTGCTGCCCGATGTGGTACAATAATACGCTGCCTCTCGTCTCCAATCTCGGAGCGAAAGTCCGCGGCCGCCGCGCGCAGCCACCCTCTGCCCCAAACGCCCACTCATCCCTACGAGCATGATAATTGATTTTGTAGGCTGTACTGTACTGCACGTGGAAGTGAGGGCACTGAAAGCCCGTCGAGTGTCCAGTAGGTGGGCGACTCGAGTCGCTGGGACCCCAAAGACAAGAAGACGACGTAGGTCAGCCTACGGGACACTTGTTTTATCTTTATCACTGTAAAAATTATCTTCGTAAACTTACAACATAATTTGTAATTCTGATTTACGAAATACTTTATAAATTTACGACAGCTCATTCTTAATCGTCACTGAATTCCTAGTCGATACGCAGTAAATTTACCATTTCAAATAGTATTTTTTTAACACACGTCATGGCCAATCTGCCTGTAACCTTTACAAGTATTTCGAGTATTTCTCACAACGATACTTTGCTTGTTTGTTTTTCAGCCTCCCTTTGTTTGGCACCTCCGTCTCCGTCCCGTCTCTGGCAGTGTGGCTCACAATGATGACGAGCCCGGCCGGGGGCGGGCAGCAGCAGGCAGGCAGGCAGCCTCCCCATACCAGCAGCACCCCTGCCGGGCGGCGGGCGGCGGCGGGGGCCTTAAATGGCGCCATCCCGCGAAGGTTATTGAATTACTGGCCGAGCTTCACGTCAGGGGAGGGTCGGAGGGCCCCCCACTTAACCCTGCTCCGCCTGCTCCGCCTCGCGCCGGGCCGCCCTGTCGCGCCCCCCGCTGACAAGCCCCACGCATGTGGCGCGCGAAGCAGGGCGCGGTGACACACACGAAGGGCACGGCGGCGGCGCCGTCAGGGGCCTCTCCGTCATCCTCGCCGCCGCCAAGTCTCACTCAAAGCCGCGCGGTGCGACGTCACGAAGACTGAAGATAGACGGAGCACCATCGTGGTGATGTATCACAATGCACGCAGCTGGAGATGCCTCCGCCGCCCTGTACGGCCGTCGTTAGAACGGGATTGACTTTCATCGTACCAGATTCGGTATGGTCCAATGGCCATAATACCATCACTGCAGGGGTACGTACCTCAGCTCGCTCGCTACACCTCGCTGTGCTCGCATGCTTCATATTGTTGGTGTGTGTGAGAAGCGTGTGTGTGTTCTTTTTGTGCGTGTGTTTTATTTTTCGTCCTTATTCGTTTCTCTTTCAACTCCTCCCCATGCTCAGTTTTCCTCCCTTTCGGTTGGCGCCTGGCTCCGTCCGCCCTGCTCCGCCCTCGCGCCCGCTCTGCCCGGAACAAAAGGACACCATGCTTCACTGTGCCCAGCAGCCCGGCGCGGCCCGGCGCAGCCCCGGCCGTGTGTGCCTCCGCCGCCGCCCGGCTAATGGTAAGACTCTCGCAGCGCGAATTCATTTTCATCCTAATTTATCGTAATATTTTCGTGCGCTCGCGCTCATCCTCCCCCCCCCCCTTTCTATCTCTCTCTCTCTTTCTCTTTCTCACTCGGATGTGCTCCCCCCACCCCTGCCCCGCCAAAAGACTCCTCTCTTTTCTTTTTTTTTGCGGTGGACGCTTAGTTTCCTCGTTGTAATGCGAAAATAAACCGCCTGGTAG